GAGGATGCAGCCTGCCTAAACAGGTGGTGTTCAAGGTCTTCGGCGCTTTCGCCACTTCAGGACCATTCAGGATTTTCAGACCTGAATGGTCCTGAAGTGGTGAGAGGTCCAAAGACCCTGAAAACCACTTGTTTAGGCAGGTTGCATCCTGAAGTGGTGAAGGGTGTCTTGAAGTAGTGATGAAAAATATGACTGTTGTTAACCTTCTCTCGTCCATCATAATTTTCAAGAATTTCCGATTCTTCCACTCATATCTTATGAATTTTATTTCCTGAACTTCTCGTGTTTTTTCCTCTCCATTATGAATTTCCGATTCCCCTTTGGGCGCACTAATGAATTATTTTTGCGTGGGTGGAGGGTTGGGGATTTAAGGAGGAGAGCTCTACTCTGAAGAGGCTTCACAAGGTGGGGCGTGAAATGCCCGGGAGGGAGTGGGGGCAGATCTTTAGGGGATGCCATATTCTGGGGCTGGGAGAGATGTATGGGATGACATCATATCCCAGCGCAGGCAGATATGGGTGAGGGGTTGGCCAAGGCATACTTTGGGCGGAATTGGATGCCTTAGTGGAAGTAGGGGGAGGCAGTAGGTATGTCCCAAGTTGGGGCCGATAAGGAAAGCTTGCGTCCGAAATTCTGATTCTCCTCTTAAGCAAAAACGAATTATTTATGGTGGGTTAGTGGGTTGGTTCTGAAGGGGAGAGCTCTACTCTGCAAGGGCTTCACAAGAAGGGAGGTGATTACCCTGAAGGGAGACGGGGCAGATTTTGGGGGATGCTCTATTCTGGGACTGGGGGAGATGTATGGGTCAGCATCATATCCCAGCGGTGGTAGAAAAGGGCAAGGGGTCGGCAAACGCATACTTTGGGTGGGAACTGGATGCCTCTGTGGGAGTAAGGGGGGGAGGTCTGTCCCAAGTTAAGGCCGATGAGGAGTGTTCGTGATCAGGGGCGGTCCTTTTTGGTGGAGGCAGCGGTGGGGCAGGAGGACGAGGGGAAAGGGGGGAATTTATATATCCTTTGCTTGTATTTGGTTAGGACTTTTCCTGATTTTCTCTGGAATTTTCAAAACAAGCACCCTTGTTATTCCTGGTAGTTTGAAGAATTTCTCAGGACTATGCGGGTCTGCTGGTGGTTTGTATGAATCTGCACTTTAATTAGACTGTTATATTCAAGATTTGTGGCTGTTCAATGCTAGAACGACGCTGGTCGGAGCCAGGGTGATGCCCTGTAACTTGTCGAAGGTGAGGGCATGAGGCCTTGTAGAGAGATCTGGGGATGCTATGCGGGGGCATCCTAAGGGACAGGTGGGGGTTGTTGACACAGGACAACACTGGCCGAAACTGGAGTCAGTTGCGTTGCTCTGTAACCTAGCAGATAGGGGGTGTGAGGCCTGGATGAGTTTGTCAAAGAATAAGTCAGTTTTGGTGAGTTTTGTTATGATCTGTTGGAAATCCCTTAGATACTTGCGTGTTCGAAAAATTGTGGTGGATTTCAGGAGGTGTTTAGCGATCGTAAAAAAGGATTCATAGTTTTCTCATCATCTATCCCGAAGTTCAATAGCTTGCTCATGATCTTGGAGGACACTCTCAAGCCAAAACTAAGTAATGGCCCTGGTCTCTCAATTTGTTCATAAATTGTTTTTTACATGTCTTCATATGGAACACTGGGCCCTATTCCCAGCACGTGCTGCTCCCCACGAGTAGATTGGGGCACGTCTTTAAATTTAAAAAAAAAAAAAAAAAAAAAAAAAAAAAAAAAAAAAACAATATGCCGGATGCACTGTGAGTGAAACACGCGTGATAAGGGGATAGGATGTCTCTCTTTTCGGAAAGGAATGTGGACAACGTGTTTGGCAGGGTGCAATCGCCAGCCAAAAGGGGGAAACGAATTGAGGCTGCAGGGAATGATAATTCTTGGTGTAAGTACATGCACATTTTCTCTCAGTGAAATGGATGAAGAAAAGTGTGATCAATTACTGAAAAAGCTCCCCCGAAGCAGAAAAAGGCCAAAGATAAAAGACATGTTATTTTCTGTTCCTAGAAACTACGCCATTCACGTCACGTTGCTTTGTCCTGTTATGGCGCCCATGTCCACGTCAACCGCATTGACTATATCCGGAAGGTTGGGAGGGTCCAGCGGCTACTGCTGCAGGACGTTCACAATCATGACCTGATGGTCAGGTCGATAGTCCTAACTGCCCACACGGTCCCTCAACTCCAACTGCATTCCTGTGTCGTTTCGTCCCAGGCATGAATCGGCATGATCTTTTTTTTTTTTTTTTGTGTGTGTGTGTGTGTAGGCATCATCGACTTCTCGGCGGTTTTTTCAACCAACGCTGCTACAGTGAGACAAGGCCCTAGTGATCTGCAAGCGAGACCTCAGTAATGGGCCCACTATTTTGCTGGGTAGAATTGTGAGGTCCACCGCCTGAATTTGTTTTTGATATAGGCAAGTGCTCCACTGAACGCACTTTGGAGAAATTCTCTGGAGTATGTGAAGTACGGTGAGTCCTGCATAATAAAATTTCGATTATTTGTGGGCCTCCACCTACCGGCGCTGTCGGGACTATCAGGAAAACCGCGCCGTGCAAGTCAGACAAATCGTGTTCCTTTTTTTTTGTCTTTTTTTTTTTAGACCACAATCAACCCGATCTGATGCTAGGGGTGCTGGTGAGAGCAGACACCACTAGCATTCCCAAGGAGGCTGCATCTATTGGTGGAGAGCGGCACACGCTGGAATGTCCACCACAGCCAGAATTGCAGTCTGATGCATTGCACCTTTTGTTAGGGATTTTTGGCAAACCATACCGCGGGCGCAGCCCCAAGGTATGGGGATTCTGGCCACTGATTTTTCCATTCTGGGATTTTGAGTGCCTACCGTCTTCACTCGAATAGAGTGCCCAGTCATTAAAGTTGTATTTGGCACAGCCTTCAGCCCAGATATGGGGATAATTACCGGGCGTTCTATTCGGGTGAAGACGGTAGTGTGAGTCCGCCCTAAGAACCCCGGAATCAGCACTGGATCGCTGCTAACAGACAAGACCTTTCAGAGAATGTAGGGGATTCTTCAGTGAATGTACGCGGAATCCATGAAAGGGAAAAAAACAAAAGTAAAAACGCCAGTGGAAACCAAGTCCAGCGTCCCATATAAGTTTTTACAAAGTTTTATGAAATACCGGGGCCATAATCCAGAAAAGACAAAATATACGGCAGTGGATTAATCCACCAGTACTTGGCCCAGCTCTCGACCGTGGAAAAAAATAGAGTAGAAAGGTAGAAACGTGTCTAGTCGGATGAATCTGGGCGCTCATGTAGTGGCCCATACGTTTCCTAACATCGTGGCTTGTTAACGGGCCTGACTTCAGGAGGACTTTCAGTTGGCATACTTTAGGAAGACTTTCACTTGGCATCACTGAGGGCATACCCACCCCAGGACTTTTTATTTTCTTTCCTTTCTTCTTTCCTCCCTTACACACCCACTAACTTTCACAGTGGTGTCCCATTTGGGTATATAACCTCTACCACATTCTTGAGGGCCCTTTGGAGGCCAGGCCCGGCAGTCGCCGCCGTCAATAAATTTGATCGGCAGCCGCCGTTTTTGTGTTACCGGCCTCCGAAAGTCGTGGGGCCTCATGGGACCTCGCCCCCAAATGCAGCATATCGAAGGTAGTGGCAGTTTAAACCACCACTGCCCCCTCCATCGACAAATTGTCCAGAAATGGCAGAAAAGTTGAGAAAACTCATTCTGGAATCGGCACGCAGTCCCTGGCCAGGGTCAGTGGCAGGTGTGGCGGGCTGTTGAAAATCGCGCCTGGGGCGCGCCCGAATCCCTCTTTTGCATACCTCCATGCTCTAATTATCTATGATGATGTAAGAAGTGTTTGGTGAACCAAAAATGAATTTGCCTAAACAAATAAAAAGGATATATGCAAAAATAAACTAGTTTGGACTGAACCTATATCTGCTCTTTTTTGCACACATTCTCACGGCCCGCACGGAAGTAGCTCTTCGACCAACGAACACCTTGGTCCTTGCAACGACGAAGAGTGCAGTGAAATGCGATAGTCAATGTGAATTCGAGATATCTGCCAGGCATCCATACATTGAATGCACATGGCGCCCAATTCTGCAGCCGAGGGCACGCCTCGCCTCAGCGAAGAAGAAACCGTTTTTGGCACCATCCCAAAGTCCTGATGTCCAAAAAAAAATAAAAAAAATAAAAATAAAAAATCATGGTGTCAGGTGACAGTGTTAGACGTGAGATTAGTGGCCTCGCTGCACTACGCTTGCATCTTGACTAATCGAGCATTTGTCATCGCTGCACTAAGGGGCTCGTTAGACACTCCTTGGGGCATCCTCGGGGCCGAAGGAAGTTTCCTTCGGGGTTTTGAAGGAAATTCCCTCCATCGCCACCTATCCTCGGGGCGGCCTCCCAAGGACGATTCCTTTTCGGCCCCCGCGGCCCGCTTCATAATATTATGTTCGGCCGCCCCCACGGCCGGCTTCATAATATTATGTTCGGCCGCCCCGCAGCGCCCCCTTGGTCCATTGGGTGATGTCCGTCTCGCGGTGGTGGTCCAGCTGCCGACGGCGGGAAATTTAGGATGGTGCTGGCGACAGAGAAAAAAAAAAACTGTAAAAGCACAGGGACCCTCCAGGTTCAAAATTCAGATTTCGAATTCGGTGCGGGACGTGACGACGGCGCCGTGTGGCAGTCAGCTTGCCTTTTGGCGGATGGTGGAAACAGGCATTCCAGCAGGGTGGTGGCGTACTGGCGTCGTCGTTCGTCGTTTCACAGTCTTCATTTGTCGTCGCGCGAAGGTCGACCACCATCACCTCCTCCTGCCAACGGCCTTGTGTTTTCAGAGAGAGACTTGCTGGGAACGTCATCCGCAACTCTGAGGCGAGGCTGACCTCGTCGTCGGCGTGGTCCTTTCTTTTTTGTGCGGTTGTTGATCCGGCCTTGCAAGGACTCGTGGCGATGGAGGTCGGCGGCGACTAGGGACGTGCCAAGTTGACGACTGTCGAGAAGACGGCCGTTGTGGTAGCCATGATGACTGTGCTCTTCCGTTGTCAGCAGGAGAGGTCATTGGGCAGAATGAGAGCGCAGATCCGCACACGGAGGAAGATGGCCCAGGGAGCCCAAGTCGATGGGCTGGATACAGTGGCCATCACCGAGGTTGTACTCCAGGTTTGCTAAGCCATGGGTTGCGGCGTTATTCCACGCGCGAGGCCAAGATGGTGGATGAAAGGAGGACGGGTGGGGCGTGGGAGGATCTCAGGCAATGTGACCACGCGACGGATGAGTACTTCCAGGAGAAGCCGCGTATGTCGCCACGTGTCTTTCGGGAGATCGCCTAAGCTTTGTCGCCTTGTCTACACAGGCGTGTGACCTTTTACAGGGAGCCACTGCAGCCTGATCACATCGTCGCTTATGCGTTGTATAGGTGGGCATCGGGGGAGACGTACGAAAGTGGCACATGCAACTTCGGGATCGGGAGAGCTGGGCTGGTGGCGGTTCGGGACGTGACGGCTGCGCTGCTGGCGGTGTATCGGGAGAAGATATCATGGCCGACGGGGGTGCGCAAGTTGGTAATCCTACGAGCATTTGCTGACAAAGGATTCCCGAACTGCCATAGGTGCATCAACTGTACTCACGTCTACATCGACAAGGCGACAAACGTCCCTAGCGAGGACTACTACGATCATCGTAAACGGCATTTCTCGGTTGTCGCACAGGTGGTCGTTAATCTCAATCTGCGTGTGCTCCACGTTCACATCGGCTACCCTGGAAGTTGCCATGACGTCCGGGTCATCCAACTCTCAAGTCTGTGGGCACGTGCAGAGGCTGGCAATCTTTTCTCAGGCCCGCCAGTGATGCTCCCCTTCCAAGTGCAGATGAACAGGTACTTGTTGGGCGACAACGACTATCCTCCGTCAGAATGGATAGTTGTACCCTATGGAGGCATTGGTCAGCACCCCTGTGGAGGAGCACTTCGACAACAACCAGAAGGTGGCGAGAGGGGTTGTGGAAAGGGATTTCGGAAGGCTGAAGGGGATGTGGCGGTTGTTATTGCGGACGCACAAACGAATATGGAGACCATGCCGCAGCAGTTCGTAGTCGTTTGCATCCTTCACAACATCCTCATCGATGCAGGCATTCCATTTGACGAGAATCTGTTGTGGGAGGTGGACGCCAACGGAGTGCGGCACCGCGTCGACCTCGGGATTCATCGCCCCCTGCGGCCTGTGTGCATGGAGAGTTCAACAGGTGATGCGCTCATTCTGAGGGACGCGTTGGCGGAGCGAATAAATCCCAAGTAACAATGTCCCTCGTCTGTAGCAAGGATGGCAGGTTTGGCATCGGTCCGGGGTTGCGTGGAATGACGGAAGGGTGAAGTCTTGTGTCGTCGTCTTCATTTTTAAAATATTACATCCCCAGAGCTACTCGTAGCATCCACGAGTACCCGCGAAGGTCGCGATTTTTTCAATCAGGGTGTGTCTGAAATGTTCTTCTTTTATTTTTTGGATAGAAATTTCCTTCATCTTCGGCAACATCGGTCCGTTTTCTGCTCAGTCCACCCAGTGATAGGGTGTGTCTTGGAAAGGATTGCATTTTCCATATCGCTGCTGGAACTCCCCAAGCGGACGTCATTATTTAAGTTACTGGTGTGTGTTTGTTTACGACCGCCGTTCTACATATTACAACTCGTTTTGAGAGACGCATCATCGTTGATATTTATCGTGTTTAAATTACGCAAAGTTAAAGTGTCGGCATTGTCTTTTGTGGCGTCGTGTGTGTGTGTGTGTGTGTGCGTCTGTGCGTCTGTGCGTGTGTGCGTGTGCGTGTGTATGCGCGCGCGCGTATGTGTGTGTGTGTGTGTGTGTGTGTGTGTGTGTGTGTGTGTGTGTGTGTGTGTGTTTGTCTGTGTGTGCGTGCGTGTGTGCGTGTGTGCGTGTCTGTGTCCTCATGTTTGTGGGTGTGTGTCCATCGTCTAAGTGGAATTGCATGCATATTTCGATTGCCTCGTGCTCTGACTATCCTTTTATGCGTAGCTGATGATTCTCTACATGCATACATTACGCCTCTTTTATGAAACAATGAAAACTGTCAATGCAATCACATCTTGTCTGCCATAGGGGAATAAAGACAACAAATGTGCGCTTCATAAACACAAAAACAAACAACGAAGAAGATATACAAAATTCACAAAACGTCTACCAATTCGCAAACTTCCAAACGTCTGTGGAGTGAAATCACATCGCAGAGAGAAACATGGATAGATGGATATATACATATATATATAGAGAGAGAAAAAAAAACGTTGGTGGCGTGAAATCGCATTGCAGAAGGCTTAATGTACGACTAAAATGTACAGAAAACGGGGACGGCCAACAACCTGAAGGGCCCTTCTACACACTCTAACACTACCTTCCCCGCTGCAACGCGTCTGAGCCGCCTACCCGCCTCTTGCTTTCTGCTGTTGGATGATGGCCACAATGATGGCCGCCTACCCCCCTCCTACTTTCTGCTGCTCGCCGTCGCCATCGTCCTCCTCTTCAAGAGCCCCCGTTCCCAACCAATCTAAACATTTCGCATCATCGGGTGATTGCAAGCTTGCGTCATGTCTGAATTTTACACCACAATACGCCCAGTCTGGGATGTACTGAGGGGAATCCGCTAAAACCATGGGGGGCTTGCCCAGCCGCTCCGTGACGGCGTTCGCGGCTTGCGTGATGTGTCGACGCGCGTCGAATGAGCGATGCATTGCAGCTAGAAGGGTCAGCTTCGCCACTAGTTGCACGAAAAAGGACGCCTCCTAGTGTGAACGGAGATCATCTACCGACATGCGCATCAAGCACATGACGACAACCACAAAACCCTTCATCCCCTCCACCACATTGTTCAACCTATCATGTGACAAGCGACCGCCATCGTGAAGCTCAGCCGCGACCACCGCGCTTGTGAAACCAGCCACAAGGCGTTGCAACATCGCCTCTTGATATGTCGTGAGTTCGTCGTCTTCAGGCCTGTTTTCGATGTGTGCACCAACGAACCACAGTGGGAGCTGCATGTCCAAGTCCAGGGTGACGTGGCAAACAGCGGAGCTCACACACACTCCATTCTTCAGCGCACCACATCGCGGGTGCGATGTCTGTCCCCACGTGTTGGAGTAGGTACCCGTACGCGGCTGTGAATGCTCGTGGCCTGCTGGTGGACTTCCAGCCATGGATCACGCGCAAGACCACTCTTTGCACCTTTGCTGCCTTCTCCATAGCTTCGCGCAGTTGAGATTCGTCCGTTATTGTCCCCTGCGCGACGGAAAAATGCGGAAGGACGACACTTCGCGGGAGTTGCGGAGGATTCACACCTTTGGCGACGGAGACAAGATAGTTTCACGTGTCGTTGATGATCTTGTATAGCTGATTGCCTTCCGTATCGTTCCAGAATCGGTTTTCGTCAACCCATAACCTTGTCTGGTCCGCCAAACCAATCGGCCCATTCCCTCTCCCCACCCTGTTCGCCAGCGGTTCCTCGTTTTCATCATCTTCGTTGTTGACCCCATGCGCCGCACCACCCGCCGCCACCAGCGCCTGTCGCTGCAACCACGCCACCAGCGCCTGCCGCTGCAACCACGCCACCCACGCCTGCTGCTGCAACCACGCCACCAGCACCTGCCGCTGCAACCACGCCACCCGCGCAGCCAACGCCACCACCACCAACCGCGCGTTCGAACGCACCTGATACGGCCACGTCCTGAACTGCTTGACGTCGCGGGGTCAGCGGGGTTGATGACTCCGTCTGCTGAACTGCCCGCGTTGTCGGGGTTGGCGGTCCGACGCCAGTTTGATGGACCCCCTGAACCGCTCGACGTTGTCTGCCCACAGAACCTACCAATGGACCAGAGGCTGCAGCATCAACTCCTTGGGTCGTCCCCGCAGCACCCGCCACGTCAACGTCAATCACGTCCTGTTGAAGACGTGTCGTCAGACGTGGTTGCTAAGGCTGTGCGTCTCTGATTTGAAGCGCGCTGCCCCTTGTGGTGTTGCACGTCGGTTGTCGTGCAACTCCTCCTCCTCCATGAACACATCGTCTTCACTTTTCACATGCCCGAGCCGCACCGACCCGTCGTTACTTCCAGCACCAACGCTCCCCGAAGCGCCACCAGCACGTGGTTTTTTCCCCTTGGGCATTTGCTGACCTTTCCTCTCAACAGGGTTGACGTCGTGTTTCCTGCCTCGACATCGCGACGAGTGAATGCGAGATGTGAATGCGAGATGTGAATGCGAGATGGCAGAGCCGAGACGGCGACGGAAGGTAGACGGTAGAGGCTAGACGGTCGGGGCGAGATGGCAGAGGAAGTTGACGTACGCTAGGCTGCAGAGGCTAGACGGCAGAGGGAAGACGACAACGGAGGTTACACGGCGAAGGCGAGACGGCGACGGAGGCCAAGCGGCAGAGGCGAGACGGTGACGGATGGTGGACGGCAGAGGCGAGATGGCGACGGAGGGTAGATGGCAATGGCAAGATGGCGACGGAGGCTAGACGACAGAGGACAGACGTGAAGATCAGATGTGAGACGTCACGAGACGGCGGCGACGAGACGACAGTGGCGAGACAGCGAGGGAGGCTAGACGGCAGTGGTGAGACGCCGACGGAGGCTAGACGGCGCCGGGGGTTAGATGATAGAGGCGAGACGTCGAGATCGGACGCCAGAAGTCAAGATTAGAAGCGCATGATGGAGAATTCAAGGCGAGATGGCCGGCCTGCGAATGACAGGATGAGCGGTGATCCAGTAGACAAAAGTGTGAAGCCCTTGCCTGCGAACGAGGGTGGGGGTGTGCCGTTTATATCCACGTCGAAGGGACACGTTGGGTGCAATGCAGCGCATGGGCGGCAACGACGAATCGTCTCGCAAGACAAAGGACGACAGACTGTGACACGTACACCCTTCGTCTAACTTGGGCCCCTCCTTTTTTGAACTTCCACTCGCGGGCCGCTTCGACTCACCCT